ACACAGGGGAAGCTTCTAGCAGCTTCTCACAGAAGCCACTCTTGTAGCTGCCCTGCTACAAAACCTTGCCATGCAAACCCAATACAGTAAGCTAAATTCTCTGTCACTTGTAGGCCCTGCATCAAAACTCTAGAGATTCTAAAGTCTGCACTTAAGATCAAAGGCATGTGACTGTATCCGATGGAGGAATCGCCAGATATTCTTTGTATAGGAGAAAATAGCATACAATGCATGTAACAGCTGGCAAAAGGAGAAATAAATGATAAATTGTTCATACACAAATGGGGGTAACCCAGTATTTGTTCCAAGTTATGTCATACCAACCCAGCTGCTTGAAGTGCTCTTCTTGCCCTATCACAGCCCAGCGTGCATACACATGCACACATACCTACTTGTCTTTAAATCTTTTTATAGAATCATAGAACCGTTTAGGTTGGAAAAGATCTTTAAGATCATCAGGTCCAACCATTAAGATAGCACTGCTAAGTCCACCACTAAACCATGTCCCTAAGCACCACATCTACACGGCTTTTAAATATCTCCAGGGATGGGGACTCAATCGCTTCCCTGGGCAGCTGGTTCCAGTGCTTGACAGCCCTTTTGGTGAAGAAATTTTTCCTAATATCCAATCTAAACCTGTCCTGGCTCAACTTGAGGCCATTTCCTATCACTTGTAACTTGGGAGAAGAGACCAACACCCACCTCACTACAGCCTCCTTTCAGGTGGTGGTAGAGAGCGATAAGGGCTCCCCTCAGCCTCCTCTTCTCCAGGCTAAACAATCCCAGTTCCCTCAGCCGCTCCTCGTAAGACTTGTGCTCTTATGAAGCAACACTTTTAGATTCTCATAAAAGGAGAAATTTGAAATAATTCCAAAGTTTGATTTTGACAAGAACTGTGCAGATTTGATCAGTTTGCCACAAAAACATTGTAAGTGTTCTAATTTATTTCCTGAAAGTGAGTAAATACAATACTTACCTCATACACGTTGAACTGAGATTGTCCTCTCGACAACTCTCTGTAACTTGTTGTGAATTCTCCGATGAAATCATGGCTGTATTAAAAAAAAAAACTTTTTAAATCAAATGCACAGCATTTAGTAATTTAAACATGTATTACATCTATTTACAAAAAAGAGAAGCACAGCCAATATGAACCGACGCCCAAGAAAGGAGCAATGGCAAAAGATACAATTTGCTTAAAAATCTTTATTTTGTGTGTTGTATGCTCACTTCATTAGTAATAAAAATTTAGAGATGAAAAGTATTAGCTTAAATCTTTCTGATGGCTTCTGCTTAACTTAGCTGCACAATGAGGACTAGGTTGTAAATTAGTGATCTGACCCCAATGTAAGCTTACAGAATCTGAAAAAACAGAGTGGGCTATCAAAGACTACCACTGTTTTCTCACTGGGTGGCCACTGGCATCACAGACTCTGAACTGCATGCAAGCCTATGCGAGAGAAAGGGGGGTATTGAGAGTGTGAAAGGAGTAACTTAAACCAGAAAAGACCAGCCCCACCAATTTGTGTAATGTGACACTGAATGGCACTTTTAAGGGGAAGACCCAGAGCTTACTTCAGCTGCTATGTCTTCCCAACCTGGGAGGAGAAAAGCAATCCACTGAGGCTCCTCAGCTTATGGTATTAGACACCACTGGAAAGCAGATCTTAACCTAACACTAAAGCAGTGGTTATCAAGCTTTTGCTTTCTAAATTCTATTGCTGCTCCAAGAATACATTTGACACTCCTGTGCTGTCACCCATGTTTTGAAAACTGCTTTGTCAGCTCTTAACCAGGGGATGGCATGCTGCCAAGGAGCCACTGTGAGCAGGGTGGCCAGATGGAGCGTAGTGGATGAAGCATCACTGAGAAAGGCAGCTGGGTCAGGGAGCTGGGGCACAAAAACCACAGGGCTGTCAGAAGTGACTGAACTGCAGGTTCGTATCTCAGACAGGTACCTGGAATGGAAACAACTACAGCAGTGAATGCCTAACAGCTGGCTACGCAACTCCCAGCAGTCACAAGAACTGTCCCCTTTCTCCACTCTTCCCAGCTGAACTTTTCTCACTGCTGCTCCAACTCCCATTCCCCCCTGCCCCCCGTCTCCCTCTGTTTTCACAGTTGTTCCTTAACAAGGCATTGTATCTCCTCTACACTCTGCCTCCACATCTGGTGAGCTATGAAACTAACTTTTCTACCTTCTCTCCAATGGTAAACTAGAAAAGAAAGTCAAAATTTTATTACTCTGTTACTTGTAAAATTTGTTTGTAAGAAATACAGCACTCTTCTAATTTAGCTATGAATATTAAGAGCAAATTCAAATAAATCTGAATGTTGCAAAAAGAGGAAAAATGGAAACCATCCATAGCGACATGAAATGTCTGTCTTGATTTATTCATAATGAAATTAGAAAAACCAAACCCCAAATATAAATCTCACTTTCCAAAACCAGCATGAATTCACAAAATATGTAAAACAAATAATTAAAAGGTCCAGGTATCATGCTAATGCACATGAAATAAGCAAAGCATCCTCTAAGAAAGTTTGAGAAATAATGTATGGTGAAGATATTCCCCATTACTCAGATTCAGAAGGGACCACCTCTCAAGAAACACCCCCCCTTCCAGTCTGGGGATCAGGAAATTGCTTCTGAGACAGACAAAGACTTCTCTTAAGAAACACATTTTGAAGGTATCAACTCCTTTGACTACATGCTCTCCAGATTGCAATGACTATTTAACCAGGGGAACAGAGGAAGCCATCCATACAGGCTATGGACTTTGAGTTCTATTTGGGCTGTAGCACATAAAGGTGTATTTAACCTTAGGTAACCATGGCACTGGAGAAAAATGCACCTTGGTTCAAGAGGAATCTTACCCTTTCATAAACAGTTCTTACCTTAAATTTTCAAGTCAGCCTGTATATTTCAAAGACAGAAATTCAAACAATAGCTCAGTGACTACCTACAAACACGCTATAGCAAACAGAGGAAATGTAAGCAATTCCAGACAGGGTTGCCTCTGGGGAAAAAAAAAAATCTGTACTGCTCAAAAGTAATGGTTTCCTTAATTCTAAGAGACATTGGAAAGTCTCCTTTCCTTGTAGCAATATACAAAGACTGATAAGAACTGAGCTAGAAAGATAGCATTCCTCTGACTAATCATGTTAAAAAGGTATGGGCATATATAACCAGTCTCAGAGTTCTCTGCACGTAAAAGATCATCAACCTGGATCTTAATGCTCAGTATTCAGACAGATGCACGCCCTTCCACTGGGTTGGCTCTGAAAGATGAGTGCCTGTCGGACAACATTTGCCTTTGCCAGAAGTGTGACTCGTTAAGAAAAACAAGACACCAGTCGCTCCCAATATTCATGATCACACTTCACCAAATGGATCTCCTTATTAGTCTCTGGACTGAGAATCCAAAGAAGTTACGCTCTTTGCCTTCCTAACACCAAATATTCCTAGACTTAAGGACTTTTGTCCATGAGTGGCATATCAGAACCCTGAATCAGAGACTCTTAGCACATAAAGTAATCACTTGAATCACATGTCCCTAAATCTCCCACTTTTGGTACTATGCTTTGAAGTGCTGAAAATCACTTTCAGAAGTGTATTAATTTTTTTTTTTTTAATAATCTAACAGAAAAAAAAAAAAAGGAGGAAAGGACAATCATCACCAGAAATATATCAATGAGTAAGGTGAAAAGTGCCATAATCTAAAAATCAACTGTCTACCTGGAGGAGGATGAAGATGCAGGACAAGAAATAAGGTGAGAGAGCCTGGAATCTGAGACTTACAATCTCGCCTGCAGTGTTTAGATTCTCAGATAAATGTTTCAGTGGCCCTAGGTTAGCATTGTAATATTTACAGTTTTAAAATTCAAGAAAATACCATTTATTCTGCATAACAGATCATAAACATCAAGGCTTTTGCACCATGTAGGCTAAGTAACAATTTCTCTGAAATTAGTGAAAAAGCTCTCAGAGAAATAGAAAAATCAGAGTATTGCTGATGTGCTGACATGAAGTTGCACATCATCTTATTTTTTCCTTCTGTGAGACCTGTCCGCAAGTACTTAATTGATAAGGACACCCAACAGAAAGAAAGTCACTTTGTTTCACACAATTGGGCTTGTCCAAGCAACAAAAACTTTTGTGACTTCTTATAGCACCAAATACTTTGGGGTTTGTTACAGCTCTTAGAATAAATAAAAGGTATTAATTAGAACAAGTGGTTCACATTTTGACAATTTTTGTGCAAAAACTGGTTTGAGACAAAGAAATGTTTAATAATTAATAGTGTTAATGTTACAAAGGTCCTGTGTTACCTTTTAGTCAAGAGATTTTAAGTGATGTTTGACAATAAATGAGAGCTAAGAATATACAATTACTCTTAATGTAATTCATGAATGACAGTAAGAAGCTCAACCCAAAGCACCCTGGCGCCGTTTTCCCAAAGCACAGATAACACAGATGGGGAAAAAGAAAAAAACCTCTCGTCAAGACTCAAGAAGTCAGAGTCAGGTCAAGTCAAGATTCAGAAATCAAGTATATGCACAGTAATGCTGCCTTACTGACGGCAGAATAACCTGCAATATTCTGTGTAATTTGCTTTGCTATCTAGCAGGCTCTCTGATGATCTTTCAAAGGTTGTTCCTGCCCAGTCTGCACATCTCTGGAGCAAACAGACTCAGCCTAGTGAGGTCACCAGCTAGTGTAACAACTGCCTGTAACAAGGAGTCCTTCAAAAATGGAAATTAATACAAACTGAGTAACAGCAGCAAAATTTGATAGACTAATTCTTGAATGGGATTCACTTCAGATACATTTGGCAATGTCAAAGTTAAATTAGGCACTTAGGTTCTTACTACGATCGCTAGTAAGTCATAGGCACCACCAAATGGCAATTTATTCCAGTTAGGATTCAATCAGACCATTTTCTCCTGTAAGCTACTGAAGTAGCTTAAATGATTAGTTCAATCCAGTTGCCTGATTTTTACATTGTCTGAAGTTACATGAGATGAGTGCTGTCTCATCTTTCTGAGGAATTTAACAGGTAAGACGTTCTGCCTGCTTCTAAATTCAAAAAAGGTAGAAAGCAAAAGGCAAGAAAATCATACAATTAGAATAAAAAGGAATATATATAAATAGTATCCTTCACTTTTTGTTTTTAGATATTAATTGTATAGGTATTCAGAGCAGGACGTGAGCAAAAGCAGGTAATTTTTCAAACTGCTTGGGAGAGTGCAGAGGCTAGTGATTGCCTGAATTCCACAGTATGTTGAAGATTTCACTCAGAATTGCAGCTATACAATATTATTTTTCAGATTTCTTCCTATTATTTTTACCACACTTCAGTTTCAGATTTGGATGAAATGGGACAGCACATGGGGTTTGATACCTTAATAAAATATACTTTTTATTAACTTGGCAGTATAATTTAATTTTTTAAAAAATTATTTTCAAAAAATGTTGTAGTTTATACACAAAAGTGTAAATATATCACATCTTTAAGGATATGGCAAATCTAAGTGAGGAACAGAGGATGTTAATAAAAATTCATTGTTACAGTGATGCAGCGGTTTTGTGCTAATATGGCTTTGTTAATTTAAATCCTTGTATTTTTAATTGCCAGAACATGTTATTCTGTCACTCCAGGGAATATCTAATCAAGAAGGATGAATTTGCACTAGCAGGTATTTATAGGGCGTAAACATGTGATAAGAATGCTTATAAATCAACAGGCTTCATGATGGAAGCAAAAAGACAAAAGTATAAGCTGAGAAAGCTGAAACTGGTTTTAGACCTTGTCAGCAAGGAAATGAATGGCAGCACAGGACAAATTTGCCTATTATGATTACAAGATCTATTGGGCCTCAGAAGCACAATATCATTAGCTACAATACTAGAAGCAAATTGCATTAGCAATATTAGAGACATTACTGTAAAATAAATAATACACTTAAAAATCCAAATGTTAAGTGCATATCCATATATTTAAAAATATGAATTAAGATTAATAGGAAATAATTAAGACAGACCAACTCAAAGATAAATAGAAATCAACGTACTCTTATATTATATACAAGTTCTAGTACCATTATTTATGTGTACAGTTTCTAACCAAAGTATTAAGATACACACTCAAACTTTTCTAAAGGAACAAGAGGTATCAATCCAGTCCGATAATAAAATAATTCTATCTTGTTTGTCAAAATAAAGGCAATTTGAAATGCTAATTTCTTCAGAAAAAAAAGTACACTCAGTACAGAGAGCAAGCTTGAATAATAACAGATTGCTCCTCTTGAATTTAGCAACAGAAATTCCATGTATATTCCGCCATCCTCTTTCTAGCAATGGAGTTATTTAAAACCCAGGTCTTCCAACTCTAGCATTTACAACAATGTTTTCATGAAGACAGGCATGGAAATGAACATTCAAACCCAATCTGAAATTATGATAATTAATAGGTAGCTTTTATGTTGCAATATCTAGGCAGCCATGAAGTAGCAATTGCAGGCTCAGGCATTTTATCATACTTGAAAAGCAACAGTTTATGAAGCAGTGTTTTAAGCAAAAAAAAGTAGATTATAAAATGGATTATCCCTCTCTTCATACATGTACGTTAACTGATAACATAATGAGATTCACAAAACTGATTTTACAGATCACAAAGCATTCCAGCTTGCTTGTTCCATGTATGAATATACACACATCATGTCTGAAATGGGCTAATACATCAGCATTTACGACAACTGCAAAACAAAACAGAACGCAGCACAGCAAAACTTTATTTCCAGTACCTGTAAATACTCAATACCTCTAAATATTGATAAATACTGTTCTCTAGTTCTGTTCTGGCCACTATATATTTATACATTTTAAAACATGTATAAATATGCATCGATAACCCTAAAGTTTAGCAATAGAATTAATGTCTTACCTTCCATCTCTATCCCAATCATACACTTCTACTTTAATCGTCCTAAAAAATAAAAAACACAACCCTATTAAAATATATATTAAAATGTACCAGGATTGCCTTTAATACTTTTAATTTAATAGCATATGGGCGCATCAATTGTACCAAATCCAGAAGGTAGTGTTTTCCTGTCACTTCTCATGGGGCAAAAAATAACAAGTCACTCAGGTTACCCAATATATCTTCATAAATTAATAGTAAAATACAGCGGAGGCTAAGGAAACAATTAAACACATTGGAAGTTCAGCTGAGTTATTTTTACTTGCTGTTGCTCTGATTTTTCTGTGTTTTTTTTACAAATGATTCTTTAAAGTATTATCAAAGTTTTTAAAAACATTAACAAACTGGAATTTATTGTGAAGGTCTCTTTGGTATATGCTATTACCTGGAAAACGGTATCTACTGTGGGGTAATAACATCTTGCAGAAAAAAGTAATATATCCATATTTGAGAAGTAGCGTGCAGAGATTGAGAGGGCCCTTATAAAACAAAATTATTAAACAGCAAAGTACAGAGTAAAAGCAATGTTCACAATACGAAGTAAAGCACATTTAAAGCAGTAAGGAATGCTAGTCCATACATTTTGGCTCTAAAATGAAAATAACACTCCAGAATACAATAAAACTTCAATCTGGTAGACAGTATTAACCTCTTCTAAACATTGTGCAGTGGTGGAAAATGAAAACTCTGAGATCCACCCAAGATTTTGTGAAGGCCTTGTCTGTGGCTGTAGATTAAAGAAATCTGTAGTTCTTTAAAGACTGCACTTTTCCCCTCTTAAACTCCCCCCTACCTCTTGATAGAGGACGAGGCTGCTTGGCTATCTGACCAAAGAGGACAGAAAAGTGCAGCATAATTTTTTTAATCCCTACAAAGCCAACAGAATAGTTACTCAGTTCTTTCATCAGACTACACTAGATAACCATCAGACTATACAACATAACCGTGACTCTACCTTCCTAGAATGAAATGGGACAAGCAGATTGTGGGGTATGAGGGAGGAACATGACAGAGGCAGACTATGGGCACCAGTTTTTCCCCAACCTGACAGATTGCATACCTACTGTATCCAAGTATTTGACTCTTGAAAGGAAACCATATTTAATTTAGTAAGAAAGGCAATATCACAGGTTTTTTCCCTAGAGAACCATTATTTTACTTCCAGGTTTCGAAACCTGTTACTATTAAGATAGACAGGACATGCTAGTAAGTTAAGATTTACATAAGGTTTAGCAGGACTTGAGTTTTGAATTGTCTTACAAATCTGTGTTCAAATAGCCAAATCATCTCAGAGACAAAACTTGAACTAAGATAAATTCTTGAGAAGGATCTTCAGACATGCAACTTCAATAAGAGCAATTCTTCCTTGAATAAAGCTCTTCTCTCCTGAAATTTATTTCATATTAAAAGGATTGATCACAGATCTTGAGTTTTACCTATTTTGCATGACATACAAGATATTAAAAGGCCTTTCAAATCTTCACATACTGATATTTTACCCTCTGCACTGCAATTTTATCTTAAAGGACACAGTTTAGAGGATGGGTTCTCTATTTTAATTTTTAAAAAAATCTTTAATGTAAAAAAAATCAAGGTTAGACAATGTTGGCGTTTAGGATATCTCTGTCTTAAAACTTCTACGCATAAAATAACTGTGTGTAAGTGCTACTTGAGAGCTCATATTAAGAAAAAGAAAGATGAGAACAAAATATTAGAGATAGTAAGTACTACAGTAGTACTGAAATCCCATCCCTGTGATGGCTGAAAACATATTGTATGATTACATAGTTTGAGAAAAATTAAGCAAAATCTGGTCTTTTCACAATGAAAAAATGGACAGAACTCACTCAGGAACATACACTAACTGAAGATTTACTCTCCCCAAAACTAGAATGAATGTTTACTGTGATATGTTCTTACTAATGACATTATTCCCACCTTTCACATCTATCACAGAACCCAGAGCACCAAAATTTGATCTGTGAAACTATCATTAGCTGAAAGAGACTTTTAGAGTTTGTGGTTTTATGTATTCCCATGCTGAGTTTAGGAATCTAATCCTTACCTTTAGAAAGAAAAGTTTTCGAATAAAAAACCCCAAATTTTGGATGCTTTTTCTGGACTATCAGCAGATCCTAATTTTAATTAATCTGACAGCTAACGAGTATTTCTTGATTTGAAACATGATTGTTGTAGGCAGGATTATGAACTTCAATGGAGTGTTTTATTCATAAGGCATTCACTGAGCACATTATGTTGAAAGCATTCAAAGTAGAATCAACATGAGAAAACAGTAGTTACACAATAAATTGAGGCATGCTATTATACTTTTTAATTCTCTTCTGGAATGCCAGAGTTATTTCAATATGCCTCTACCACAATATCTTTTTTAATTATTATGAAACCCTTTTTTCTTTAATATGATAAATAGTGCAGCATTCAGAGCTTCATGTGCACTATTTTGCTTATGCATTATGCACATGAACACATATACAAGTTAAAAATTCTATTTGATTACACTGTATTCATTATGAAATTACTGCATTTTTATTGCATCTAATTGAAAGAGTAACCAACATGGCTGACAACGACTGTTATCAAGTACTTCACAAGGAGAGTGTTAGCAATGTAGAAGAACCCTTTTTCCTTCAGTTTGAAGGAACATGACATCAATTACTGGAAGAGTGTCACAGATCAAATAAGGCAGCTAAGATCTGGTAGGAAAGACTAAAAATGGCCATTCCCCCCCAGAATTATAAAAATACCACTTCCCTAGTTAAAAAAAAAAAAAAAAAAAAAAAACCAAAAGCCAATTATTAGTTTTTGACTTTTTAATAAGCAGCTTATAAAGACAGAGCTTTAAGATTATTACTGTGAAAGCATTCTGCTTAGCTTAGTGAATACCAGCACTTCTTACTCTCCTGCTTCTTCATATTGACTACTGAGATTCAGTCAGTTGATTCAAGAGTTGGTTTGTTTATCCCCTGGCATTAGCTAGTAAATTGCAAGTTCAAGGAATGCTTCCCCAGAAGACTAGGCTTTCATGGTAACTGATTAAAATAATTTTACTGTACACATTTCACTGAATAATTAGCTTGATAAAGTAATGCAACAGAGTTATGACATGGCAAAACCATGTACTATAGTAACCTAAAATGTACATGAATGGATGGTAATCACATACATGGAAGCTGAAAATAAAAATTGAGGCAGAAAAGTAACTGCCTAAATTCCAAACTAAAGATTGTTTCAAAGACACACTCAGGAAAATTATCGATTTGAGCAAAGTCTTACTGAATTTCTCTACATGCAGCAGTATGTTTCAACAAAGGATTTAGCTTCTGCTGATGGAAACATTAGTTCATGGTTAGAAGAATGCAATACTAAACTTCTTTTTATTTTAATCAATAAGATAAAATACGTTAACTTATATAAGATAATAAGATATGATCATACCAATCTCAACTTAATAAAACAAAACAGATGTTTAGGGGTTATAAGGCATTCAAACCAGATTTTTGACCTTTTGCCTTTGAAATACCCAGACAAGTACATTTTGCATTTCTTGTATTTTTCACACAGTCTATGTAAAGCTGAATTGAACCTTAGCACATCTATCCATCTATGTACTACATTCAGCTTACATATTATGCATATTTTTATTCTAGTCTTCATATATTTCCTTCATGACTTTTAACTAAATATTACACTAGACACTGCTAAAAGTATTATGACTAATTGATAAGTCTATACTTCCTGAGAATCTTACTAAAATAATTCCAGTACTCCAGATTTCAGGTAGCAGAGATAGATAAACTAGCAGACATTTAACTGGGTACTTAATAATTAACACCAATATCTAAAAGCATTTAAAAAATATGGTGAAAATAGAACAAGAAGTCATCAACAGGGAGTTAAACATTTTTCTTGTTGATATGGTTAGAAGGTAATGTCAATTTTTTAAGAAGTCTAAAAATATCCACCGTTCCTCAACTTAACTAATTTGCTTGTTATTATTGGTAAAATATTGGTTAAAAACATGGTATTATTACCATGTTTTTCAAAGATGGATCCTTTTGCATGGGATCACTGAAAACTTCAAGTCTGAACAAGATGATGATTACCTTCTGGATTTCCCATCTACTTACCTATATATTTTAAAGGCTTTCATTTATCAGCATCCTCTGACATTACAATGTCACCCTTGGAAGACAGATCATAATTGTTTTTCATTGAAGCATTATTAAAAAATACTTGTGCACACTAGTAACAGTGGCCATTCTTCAAATTAGTCTTTTCTTTCTAACTGTTTCTTAATCACAACATAGAGAGTGAAGAATTTTTTTCCAGAAGTCACCACTAGCATTTCCTACAGATTTAGCATATTGGGTTTATTTTTCTAAATTCTTTAATGTGATGAATGGTTTTGAACACATATTATCCTTTCAAAATGCTGATTAAATAACCTAAATAAGAACAGGAACTGAATTGCATAGAAAAACTTACATATAAAAGAATACATGAGTTTGGGGGGGAAAAATCATATATGCTAAGAAAGCTTACGCTATAGCTTACCGGTCATAGTCTCCATTACACAGTGCTCTGACAGAAATCTTGAATGCCTGCCACACTGGATTTAATGTATTTTTTATGACTTCTGTTTTGTGGCAGATTGTAAAACTGTAATAAGAAAAAAGATATATTTTATTTATTTAATTTTTCTTATGTGTCATCAAACATGGAATCAAAAGAGCCATAATCTGTATTCACTCATACAATGTCCATATAAAATTTAAGATAAGAAAAAAACAAAGAAACGCAGTGAAATCAGAGAGAAGGGAGGACTAAAGAGGACAGACCTGTTTGAGAGAGGTTATAGACTACGGTGTTAAACAACTTGAAACTGAAAATGTTTTTACCTAAAACTTTGACAAGAATTACAACCATTCAGGGATTTATTTCAGGCAAGAGCAGTCTCCATCCCACTTGTTTAAACAGGCCTTGTATGGCCAGGAAGCAGTAACAGATCCAGAAAGAAAGTGGTCTGGTAATGATTTGACTCTTGCTTAGGAATTAAGAAACTGAGCCAAGGGAGTCATGGCTTTCTGATGCTTGTTCCCCATTTTATGTCTATGATTTTTTAACCAGGGCTGTCTCAGGTAAAACGTATAAGCCTCTGTGAGATCCCATGATCACCTTGTCTCAAGTGAAATACAATTAATTGTTTTAATGCATTCTGCTTTCTCTAAATGATGCAAAATTAAAATATTTCTTTTGAATCCTCATCTTGGGGACTGACTTGTTCAAAAGAAAATAGGACACTGGTGAAATTGCTACTGAAATTCTATATACAGACGTAACTAAAGTTGTCCTTTGAGGGAGTATCTTCCTTACATTCCAAAGGCCTATGTTTTTATCCTGGCTATGATTCAGAAGGCATGCCTGAAGCTAAGAGACAGAAAAGAGAACATCCTTCTGCCCACGGGTGCAGAAGTACTGCCCCAGCCTCCTGTTGGATTCAGGAGACCAATAAAGAATCTGTGGCTCACCACTCACCTCTTGGAAGGAAGTGGAGAAGCATGGCACTTCAGGCCAAGAAAAACTGCATATACCAGCACTCCCAGTAATGCCCAGAGAAATTCCACTAATGACCTTAATGCCACTCACAAAGGAGCCATAACTCCTTCAGGCTTGCCATTTAAGATATTCAGTGTTCACTGAGGAAGTTGTTCCTATATCTGCCTCCGAGAGGAAAAGAGCAGGGAACAGACACGCATGTACCCATACATAAGTTTATGTTAACAACTGTTCCAGTTAAACTACTGAAACAAGTAATATCATACATGCCTAGCCTTTGGTTTGATACAAGGTTATATATGAGGACTGTCAGTTTCCAAGAAAACTTGACCTGCCAGTAGACCCCCATGTGAGTAGTATGTTGACCAGAAGTTAGTATGTCAAGTCTTAGCAGCAGAAAAGGAGATATTAGTCTACTTTAACAAATTAAAGCATGAATGTAGCAAACAGCCACTTGTAAAAAAAAAAAAAAAATTCTATTTAACGTATTTTTGAATTCTGCCAAAAAGATAAAAGATATTTCCAAATTTGCGGTCTAAAATGTTTTTACCTAAAACAATTTCTAAGCATTAGCATATTCTGCAGCTACAATTTTCTTTGAGAATTCTATTTAATTTAAAGGCATACTATATCTTAGCAAAAGTAATGCTATTTAAGTATTTCTATTACAATTAATTTTCATAGTGCTCTATATTTATCATACATTCAACTCTTAAAACCACAAGTTGCAATATTTGATCTATTTGTTACAATAGTTTTATTCCTATACGGCATACAAACTAATCCAACAAACATTATAAAAGAAACACAGCTTAATCTGACAAATATAAAAAATGTGAAAACTATATTACCATCTGCAAATAAGTTGCCTACTGTTTAGCAACAGAAATACTTAACAGGCATCTACCTGCCATCTTCATTGCTTCGAAGAAATACAAGGAAAGGATCAGATTTCCCAAAGAAGTCCTTCTTGTCTAGTTTGTTCGCACAAAATTGCATTAAAACTGAATCCTGAAATGGGTAATACAGAAAAATTACATACAACATGCAATTTACTACACTAAAATTAAAAAAAAAAAAAAAAAAATCACTGACTAATAACCATCCAAATAGAAAACAAAGTAAACAAGGGTATCTGCCTTCTAGACACCCTCTACATATTCACATTCTTGCAATGTCCTTATAGTGCAGTTTGAACTGCTGAAACCAAGAATTCCTTCACAGGAGGATGCAGAAGAAGCATAAATTTGTATGCTAAAAGCCTCAGGATTTTTCCACTATTTTCCGACATCCAAAGTTGCATTCTGAGGGAAGTAGATGCACAGGCAAGAAACACATATTAGAATTAATTTTTAAAACTCCAGTGAGACACGACTAAGCCTCATTCCTTCAGTGACTTAAACCTGCAGCTGTGTGCTCCTGCTGTCTGTAAAGCAAATCGCTTAGCAGCTTGCTGTTAAGAGTCTAGACGCTTCCAGAAGACGAGCCTGGAAGATACCAAACACACCCATTCTGATGACAAATAAGGAGAAAAATTTCTTTGCTCTGGTCAGGCAAACTGGTATTCACACATGGTCACCTCTTCGGGCAGAGTCAAGAATGCAAGAAGGTTTATAAATGCAAATATAAACCTTCAGACCCACCTAACTGGGGCAGGGTCTGCTGAAAGACTGTCTTCCATAAACAGGTCTACAGGTGTAACAGCAGCGAGAGGAAGACTAGGGAAAATTTTGGCTCTCCACTGAGTGGGGCAGGGGACCAGGTGACAAAGGACACAGAAAAGTCCGTGTTTCTCAGCCTTCTACACCTGGGTCTTTACTGGTAAGATTTGTCTTCAAGAATTTTGGGTACTTGAGACCCAGACCTAAGAAAGTCTGGAACAAGGATGACTTGCCCTTGGTAGAGGAGGACCAGGCAGGGGAACATTTAAACAGACTAGACATACAGAAGTCCGTGGGAACTGACAGGATGAACCTGCGAGTGCCGATGGAACTGGCTAATATCACTGTGAGGCCACTTTTGATTATCTTTGGAAAGTCATGATGTTCAAAGACTGGGAGAAAGCAAATGTCACTCCTATCTTTGAGAAAGGGCAAGGAAGAAGATGCAGGCCAGTCTTTCCTCAATCCCTGAGAAGATGATAGAGTAAATAATCCTGGAAAACATTTACAAATACATGAAAGACAAGAAGGTGACTGAGAGTCATCAGCATGGATTTACAAAGGGGAAATTCATGCCTGATCAACCTGAAGCCTTCCCTCATGAAATGAGTGGCTCAGTGGATGAGGGAAGACTAGTGGAGGTTGTTTGTCTTGACATTAGCACGGCCTTAGCCACTGTCTCCCATAATATCCTTGTTCACAAACTGATGAATTACAGACTAGATAGCTGGACAGTGAGGTGGAGAGAGATGGCATTATTTAGCCTGGAGAAGAGAAGGCTCACAGGGATTTTATCAATTTGTATAAATACCTGATGGGAGGGAGTAAACAGACTCTGCTTCGTGGCATCCAGTGGAAGAACAAGTGGTAATAGGTACAAGGTGAAATACAGGAAATTCCATTTAAATACAAGAAAACACCTTTTTACTGTAAGTGTAGTGAAACACTGAAATAGAGAGACTGTGGAGTGTCCTTGGACATACTCAAAACCTGACTGCACAGAGCCCTGAGTAACCTGCTCTAAGAAGAGCAGGAGGGTTGGACTAGACTATCTCCCAAGGTCTCTTCGAACCTCAGCAATTCAGTGATTCTAAAAATCTTTCCTATTCTAAATATGAGCTATAAAAGTTTGGCAAAAAATCTAGAAGATCAGATAAGAATTAATCAAAATATTGAATAACCTTAGGTAGGAAAATAAAACAGAGAAAGTATGTGACAGCTGGTGAGACAGCAGAAGAGATTGTGTGAGAGAGCATGCACATGAAAGAGCATGACAGAGAATGCAAAAGAGAGTGCAAGAGAGACAGAGTGAATCCCAAATTCTTTGCAAACTCCCTTCAGTGATTTTGAACTATTCATCATATATGTAAAATTTGAGTGGGGTGAATCTGGAAGAACATGAAGGCCTTGAAAGGTACCTAGTATTTGTCTTCATTAAAAGGGAAAGGAAAAAAAAATAAAAATCCTGTTCTCAAAATCATTATGATTTAATGATTATGATTTAATGACATATTTGTGACTTTTAAATAGTTTGTTACAACTGGGATACAAATGCTGGTCTTGGAGGATAAACCCAGAATATCAGGAAAAAATTGCTTTAGTCTTCTTAAGAAATGTAGAAGCACAATTACTACAGGAAAGCAATTAAATGATGTACCCATTTTGTCATCTGATAAAAGTGTGACCATTTTGATCATGTACTATGTATAAAAGTTTGAGCCACTGTAAAACAGAGGGGAAAGACAGGCATTTTCCATAAGCATACTTATTAATTCATACTAGTAACATGGGAATTTCCTACTGCTAAATGGGAATTAGAAGAGACTGAGTTGGTGCACCCTATTAACATAACTGTGCAGGACCGGCATGCTGCCTGGAAAAGGCAAATAAGATTTGAGCCTGTGTGCTATTCAAATTTACTACTATACCACTTTTGCAGAGATATAATACAAATTTGACTAAGCTAGAAATAAGGCACAAAATTAAAGATTTCTTTTTACTTTAAACATCTAATGAAATTAAGAAAATAAGGTCTAAACAGATTAGCTATCAGATATTTTAGTAAAAAGAAAAACATGACTATTGCATAAACAGAAAAAAATTAACCACTTATGACGTGGTGTAAGAGTTAGAAGTTATATAAGAGGTGAAGCATTACCCCCTCAACACCACCAAATTACAAAAACTAAGCCCCAGAAAGAAATCTCTTCAAGCCTCAAGGTATTTTTGTAGGTTTATGTATCTAATCTTGCAGGCTCCAGATCGCCAGTACATTCTCATCAAATGTGCGATACTATTGCTTTCTTCATTTGAGATTTGGTATCTTGTCATTGCACACTCTGCAAAGATACACCCTACAGCCCCATCCAATATATACCATGCTTTGACAACCTGCCCCCCTCCTCAGATTCCAACTGGTCTTTATCACTCATATCTATAATTCTTCCTTACTCTTCCTTCCAATCTCTGTTTCCCTATGATTTACAGATTGCCGCTAGCTCCTTCAGTGCTGGGAAGCAACTGAGCTGGCCTGGCTGCCAGGTGCTTTCTGACCAGCAAGCCCCCTCCTCTGCCCAATACACTTCTCCATGAGCCCTAGGAGGGGGAGGACATTCTTGGGGAAGGTCATGACCACACCACGTTTATCCCCTTAACCAGCCAAATTCCCCACTGCCTGCCATGGATATTCTTCTGTTTTCTATTAAATAAGTAGGCATCTGCCATTAATAGGCCAAGGAAGTGTTCACCTTCTTTAAAGAAAACTTTAAATTCTTCTTTTATGGAGATTCTTTGAAATACCTTACCCCTTTTTTCCAATAAAAATTAACTTCACTTTTTAAAAAAAAAATATGACTCACTATTAGCATAAAACCTTTTAACTATAAGGTTAAAACTCCAAAATTTTACTTTGATGTTCATGTAATGTCAACATTCCACAATGGAAACATAATTCCATTGCTGAAACAAATACATCTTTTTTTAAAATTGGACACTAAGAGATTAAAATGTCATTAATTATTTGGGGAAACAAAGGCTAGATTTACAACTCATCTAAGAGACAAAAACTTTATGCTTTGTATTGTTTTTTGCTTCTTTCTGCTTCTGCTATCTAAAACTAAGAGTAACTGATAGGAAAGAAGTACCCTAACCTCTTACATATATCACAAAATGCAAATTTATACATTATACCTTTGATAATCTGTTGCAGTATAAATCACAAAATCATTTTCATTTTATTTTTGAAAAAGCAAGGAACACACACTTACTCGGCAACAGCCCAGTTCCTCTGCTGTTACTATGACTGTTCCACATTTCTTACCAGGAATTCCTCTGCAAGAAAATACAACTACAGTTGTATACTACAAATACACCTCAGTACCTTAACATCATTTATAAAAGTAACAACTGACACAGATAAGCACAAGGTAAGCTTTCAAGACACAAAACTGATGTCATGCTATACAGTTTCCCTTTTCTGTCGTTTGTCTTGTGTAAAAAAGTTGGTTTATCCTAAGTGAATTGGTAAATGAATTGCATATTTATTCTAACTAGCAAGAAAGAAGTCAGTTTCAATTTTAAAGGAAATAGCATAAAAAGTTTAAATGGGATGAATTGACAATATCGGAAATTCTATTTTCCACCCTCCCATTGATGATTTATTTAGTGATGACTCTACAACTTACTGATTTGTGAAAAGCATCCTTTTGCAAATTTTCCTTAAACGAAATACCTAAAATATATTTAAAACTATATACCAGCCTTATTTTACAGTATTTATTCTGAAATGTTTAAGACGATACATAATAATCTCACCATCATATCAGATACAGTAGTTGCAGAATAAATTATAATTCACCCAGACAGCAAGTAAAAACATGCTGCTGCAACACCAGAAAGCGCAAAACAGATCCCTAGCATAAAGAACGATATAGGAACAGAAAAGCCACACATAATCTGATAGTATCCAGTGGCAGCAGCCTCTTGGGGGGCGGGAGAAGTGCAAATATTTAGATGCAACTTTTTGTATGATGCTATACTATAAATGAGAAGATCTGCAATATCCTAATGACTATTAGTATGTCCATTAGCACACAACTGGGCAATTACTTCCAGATTTTTTCCAAAACTAATGCTATTGCTTATGTTCATTTTATTTCTAGTTCTTTATTACTTTACATCTTTCTTGAAAATAATTGAATAAAATTACTTTCTAAGAAGACATTGAGGTAAAATTACATTTTCAAATTGATTGTATTTTTTAGGTTTTTCTAAGAGAACTAGAGGGCACTCCTGTTCTTCTGTTACGACAAAACATTAATGTAAACATTTACTGTTGTTCTTATTTCACTTATCAGTTTCCTTAATCTTTTTGAATTTTTTTTACAATGCTCTACAACTTTAAATAAGCTTAGCAAGACTGTGGTATAATAAAGAACTGGTGGGAAAGTAGTTCTTAAAAGCAGATAAAAGTTTAAAAGTTATGAATAGAGGAGCAAGTACTTATGCAAATTTATGCACACTCACTGAAACTCTTGTTTAGAAGTTGATGTTTAAATCTATAAGGAATACACCAGGGAATGCTGCTCCTATACTGCTGCAGTCATTTGCCAGTAATCAGAGAGATAAAAGACTGCTCTCCTGGACCTCCTCAGTGCTACATGGTAACTGAATTTCACAAGGAAAACAGTGGATAGGGAAACTATTCAAGTTTTTGTTGTGAAATTTTAATTACAATTTAAATACATGCAAAACTTACAGCACTCTTCCATTTAATGCGGTATGACTTATAAAAGTACAACACTTTAAGACCAAACAGGAGGATTTTCTTCAAATAACAGAAAAAGAAGAATCTGGTCATTCCAAATGTTACACAGTATGATTCATAGTTTTATCAGCATCTTCAAATCATCTGGTTTTAAAGCTGTCACCCTTCAACAGCTCACGACTGAAAATTAACCATTTTAGCCTCTGTAGCAATGGGATATTGAAATTGAAATCTCAGATTTTCAAAAGATGAAAAAGCTGCATCTTTCCTCTTCAACAGTACTTGAAGCTTCAAAAACTTTTGAAATTTGGTAACAGCAGTAGTAGAAATGACTTCATTATCAGGGTGATATTGACCTTTCATGGTAAAATGTTTCAAGAACAAATGACCACGACCCCAACCTTGGCTTTGACAGGTAAGGAAGAAATAGAAGTCTCAGAAGTGTAACTAAAAAACCAGAAGGTCCCAGCACCACAATTCTGTAGGTTATGCCAACACAAATAGAAGGCACCAGTATCAGAATTACCATTACCTGAACCAAAATTCTTCCTACTGAAATATTTAAGCCCAGTTAACTGTGCCATTAGGGACATATTTGAGACATAGTCTGAGCAGTGACAGTAATTTGAAGAAAAAGCATCAAATATTTCCTTTGGTATGAAAAGTCAAATAGATTTATCCCACTTCCAAAAGATTATTGTGTCAGATGCTGTATTGTGAAAAGTACAACTCTGATCACCTCCTTGAAGAGCTGGAGGCCTGAAGTAAACTGTTGATAAACAAGCCCCATTTCCGACAAACTAGTCACAAAACAGTTGCCATTTGATAGAGAACCTTGTGCCACCCTGCTTGCAGTTACAACACATGGCAGTCAACATCTGCCTGTCTCAAATTGAAATCTACACATGAAGACATTTATGCAAAGACATGTTTCATTTCATCTTATGAACATGAAGGCCAAGGGAGGCCCATCCCCAAGAGATACATGTGTTTGGAATTATCCCTCTGAAGGATGGGGGAAACTGGAGAGGCAATCCCCTGAAGATATTTAGGGGGGTATATCAGACAAAAAAAGGAATTGTTGAGTAGACATGAAAAGTACACACAGTATAATCATATCTGAAAGCACTTGGGGTAAGGTTTGGCTTGATGTATTACCAAGGTTCTTGAGGACATGTGCCTTATAAAAGAAGGATGATATTACCATGATGGCTCACAAAGAGGTGGAACGCTTAATCAAGATTAGCACAGAATTTCTCTACAGAACAAAAAGTTCTCATTACTCGGGAACTAAAAACTCTACCAAATGACCTCTATCGTTTGTGATGCTATTAAGTACAAGCTTTGTATGCTTGTCTTGAGACTACAAGCATGAAAATAGTACTGGACCATTTGCAGACACTAAAGAGTTTGTTCTCTTACAAATTCCCTTACAAACCATTCATTAAGAAAAAAATCCTTAAATGTCAAGTCACCACCCTTGACAAAAACTTCAGTGGTCACAGATCAGCCAAATGGAAAAACCTTTAACTAGCAATAATGCCTTGTGAGAAAATAACAAAATAATTTCAAGCTGGTCTTATCACTGTATGAAAATACATTACTTGGAGATTCAGCATTACAGACCAGTCCTTCCAATTGCCAGGGAAATACTGACTAATATTACCTTGAAGACGAGTATGTAAGAGTTCCACCTGTTTAAATCCAAAATGCAGTGCCACTGCCCATCATCTTTAGCTTTAAGGAACTTGAGCTTTGAGCTGCCCTGGAACTGGTTCTATAGCACTGAACTGACAAGACAGAATTTATGTTCAGGCAACCAATTTCTCAGGTTAAGTTCCTCTGGAAAGGATTACAGATCAGGATTTGTGGGGTAATAATGAGGCAATCTGTACTGCATAACCACTGTCAATTCCAACACTCAATGCTAGTTATCTGATACTCAGATATAGAAAATGTGCCAGTCTAAGTGTGAATAGGGTGCAAACTGAATAAAGGAAGGTAAAATGTGAGGAAGATCTACGTTTCAGTGGGTCCTACTGGTTTGAGAGCCCAGAACCTGTAGGTGTTCTACAGTGATCACCTCTTTTTGGACAGTGTTGGAAGGAGCAAATAATTTGACTGTTAGAGGAACCGAACAGAAAGCCATCATCAAATGAAAGGTCCTCAACAATACCTGCATGTCTCTAGACAAGATACAGTCTTGAGGAGTAATTATTGTCTCCTTAGAACAAATGGTTCCACGATTGAGACACTACATCTGCAACACCTAGAGAAGTTTGAAAGGACACTCTGAAGACCACTTGCGCTTTAACAAGGACTGAAAGGAGGACCTTTCCAGAGTTGGTGAAAAAGTTGGAGAAAGATGACAATTTATCTGGGAATTCAAACCTGAGAGGTTAAACAGACCCTCCAATTTTGCAAGCTGAAACTGCAATGAGGCAGAGGATAGAACATTTTTCAGATCATTCAAAAATTTAGTCTTATCCCTAAATTTATAGAACCTAGCCCTCTGGCAGTCACAACCACAGATATGAGGATAGGACAAATATACAGGAAGTCCCAATTCCAGGGTTCAGATGTTTTTCTATCAATTATGTTCACAGCAAGATGACAGGAGAAAGAACTTCCCAAAATAGGCCAGCTGGCTCCAGTACAGCCTCATTAGCAGGCAATGGCACTCAGATGTGAATAACTAGCATAGAACGCTCATTAAGCTTTGCAATGGCTCTGCCTCCTCATTAAAGGGAATCCCTACAGGAATGCACTTAGATTCTGAAAGAAGCATTGCTCAGAGTTATAAATGTGGCTAGCATCTTCTCTCTAGGAAGACAGAACATGCAAATATCTAATTCTGAATAATGTCTGGGAAGGTGATGCTCTCTTGAAAAAAAAAAAAAAGCTGTGTAATTTCTGGAAGTAGATCCATCTGCACCTCACCCCTTCATGCTAATACAACTGGTGCATGCAAGGCCAGTCTGAGTAAATCTTACAGATGGATCTTGTCTTGAGAAGGCATTTAATGAATCTAGTAACCCAATAGGTAAAGAGAGTAAACGTTACTGTTAAAATGTCAGATTCTCCATTTCACCTGCTTCGTATGACTAGATTTATTTTCCAAGAGAAATTATCCAGAGCAAATGTTCACCTCTGTACCTGGCCAGTCTGTAAAATAAAGTGGAACACTAAAGTATGTTCTTGAACAAAAATGTTCATAGTCACAGTGATAACAGGCTAGCACACTACCATAATGGCAGCAAGAGTCTTCTGTGACAGGCTGCATCAAATTCAAAGCCCTTAATGGTGTCAGAAACAGAGAGGGAGGTTCAGGAGACATCCTCATACCCGCCAAGACCAAATACTATTAGGTTCATGCCTCAGAGGCATAATCCGCTGGTGCTTGTAAGACCAATGAAACTGCCAGTCATGCCTGTCATGAAGGCAAAGAAGAAAAATGTGCGTGTGTATCTTCACTTTTGCACTCACCGTGAAGGTTAGTAGCAAGGTACGTTTCAGCCTGCCTGACAGACCACTGCAATGGTGACCCTCTAGGCTTGAGATGTTT